CGGTGCAGACAATGCTGATGTACAAAGCGTTCAATCAAGAACGGATGACTCTGGTCTTGCAGATGGAAATACCACACGACTCGCTGTCTAGCTCAAAGAGAGGGCTTTCTTTAAACGAGGGGAAGGCGGGGGGAGTTTAGGATGGTTTCCGAACGATAGCCTGTAGCTTTTTCCGGGGGTGCTAGGACTCGGAAAACCTGATGCCAATAGCTGTCTCAGGGAGTTGAGTTGGTTTGGCCGGGCTTTCTCTTCTTCTTGCTTCTGGGTTCTTGAGAATGGTCTAAGGTTGGTTCTAAGGACGCAGCTGGTAGCCGCCCTTCCCTTGAACAGGAGCTTCCGCTTAAGTAGCCGCTGGTGTCGAAGCTGAAACTGCAGGATCTCTTGTAGACGCAGGAGCTTGTCTCGTCCGATACTATCTCTCTGATGATCGATCTTGCTTACAATTGGCTTTATTACATAATATAGGTTCGCTATTCTTCTGATTTCGAATGCTAGCTGGTGGGCTTTCAAAGGTATGGGGCGATCAGGATGGCTTGGTCCAGCTCCCTTTCATCTTTAGATCAATCATATGCCCTCCTCAACCTTTTCTATGACCTAGGGCGAGAAATGCTTTTGTTCTTTTGTTCAATGCCATTGATCCGTTTAAGACGAAGAAGCTGTTCACTCTCGTTGAAGTTGTCGGCATTACCCTAGCTATTGAATCAGTTTGTGCCATTGACTCTGTCGTTGTAATAAGCACTGTTTTCGGGTTGGAAGGCATAACCCGTCTTTGCTTGCCTACCTTGTTAGGAGTTTTAGTTCATCCCCGCTTAGGGGAGCGAAGGCACTTACGCATCCGGATTCCATTCTTTTTAAGCTCACACCGCACCGGGTTGCTTGCTTTTGGTCAGCTGTTCCCAAGGAGTCTTTCAGAAGATGTGGCACAATTCGTTTTGTTAGAAAAGTCCTTGTTTTATTCAGTTAGTGTTTATATTCTAATAGGGCATGCAAATTCAGTTTCCGTACCCCTTACCTTACTCAAGAAAGAAAGTCATGCTGATCAGTAGTAGTGTCTAAGAGGAAGGGCCAACCAAAGATCTGATTCATCTGATCGCTTCCTCTAAGAATAGATATCCCTTGCCCGGGCTACAGCCAAACGGGAAATAGAAAGGCTCATTCACGAGAACGAAGGCAGAATCGAAAGGCTCAGAGTCCTTTATAAAGAGAAAATAGACTTCTTGGACGAACAGATAGATAGACTAACGGACAGTTACGTCAGTGATCGACTAATCGCTAAGAAAAGGAATAGAATTCGCATAGGCAACACAGGGTTCGGTACACGGAACACCTACCCAATCGATAAAGAAAAAGCAGATCAAAGACTTATCCTCAATAGTCATAAAGGATCGTAGGCGATCTAAGGTTACCGACCGAAGTCCTGGGCCCGCCGCTTTCTTGATTCACTCCATGACTAAGAACGCTCTTTTTTCTACTTTTTTTCTTTCTTCTCTTATTCTATTTCGAGTTTGTCTTATGAGATTAAGTATGAGAGATAATCTTCCTTGCCCGTAACTCTTATTCTTTAGTCCGTTTTACTTTTGAAAGAGCCTTTGGCGTCTGTGGCTCGTTTGATCGATAAATCGGACATGTGACGCTGGATCCATATCCCTCTGGTTTGGGGGCCCTTGACTTTACTTCTCATTCCCAGTTCGAAGTCCAAACAGTGCTCGACCGTTTCTGCAACGGTCTCTCTCTTGCAAATCCGTTCATTCCCACTCGCAGGAAGTAGTGCTCTTTTAGTTTATGGAAAGAAAAGAAAGACATAACTGGCTTAACGAGAGCTGAGCCCACGACCAGAAGGAAAATTCCTTCTCTTTTCCTTCCGATCCCAATTCCCATTCACGTGAGCAACATTGGATTTCTTGTTCCTCCCCGCTATGCCACTTTATAGGAGATAACTTTTCCTGAGGTTTTTGTTACAGTGACTCGCTTGGCCAGAACCTCATGACCCCTTTTTGGGGCCCCTTCAGGCCCTTCCTGTGTCACTCAATTGGTCATGGTAAAACATTTGAAGTTCTTTCCTTGGTCTTCATTCAGTGAAAGGAGTCAAGCTTTCCGCAGCTAGAAAGGCAATCAGTTCTGGCACAAGACAAATCCCTTTTTCGCTTAGAGGTGTTCTATTTTCACAGGGAATCAGAAGTGAGAGTCCCTCCCTATTAGAGTAAAAGCAGGAAGTTTTCTAGCTCATCGAAAAAAGGGACTCCCAGGTCACATTGCGTGCGGGATGTGTCGACCGGCACTGGAACACGATAAGGCGATGGTACAAAGCGCAGCCAACGAATCGAAATGACACCTTCGCAACATATTTAGATCTGGGATTAAGCTCTGCATGCGGCGGGTGAGCAATTCTCTCAAGTACGAGACCAAATCTTGTTTTGCTAGTAACTCACGGGAATTAGTCATCTTTTTCTGCTATGAATCCTTCTTTCCCGATCTTTCCAAATACTGAACTTCGCTTCGCTTAGTTTGTATCGTCGAGTATCTTCAAACCTGCCCCGTACCGATGTGAATTGAATGAATGGACACCACACACATCTCCACTAGTTTGTGCTCCGAATCTATAAACTTCTGCCTGTCTTCTTCCTTCTTCGTTGGTACCAGCTTATCTGGTTCTCTTCTACCCTGGGATTTTTTGGGTAATAAATGGAATGAATGTTGTAAGGGACTCCCTTCTCACTAACAACTATTTTTTAGTAGACAGACAAGAGAGAAGAGTTCTGATGATAGGGTACGCCTAATTGATCGTAGATGTATGGGGAATAAACCTTGAATTGAGAGGAAGTCAAGTAGGAGTATTGTGTTAAGACAAAGGCGGTGGGTGGAAAAAAGATAGGTAAACTATACTTAACCCACACGGGTTTTCCTTCGTTGACCCACATCCGTTGAATTCACGTTACGAATCAATGCTCGCAAGTCTCCCTGCAGCGGGTTATGACATAAGGGAAGTTTGATTCTAAATAAGGATGCTGCGAGGTTTTGTATCGGACCATAATATGGGCAAATGCCTCATGCTTGCCTGAAAAGTGTCCCAAGATACAATTCCCCTCACTATGCAAGCAGGAATCTTCGATTGCCTTTAAAGGGTTCGGCGCGCAATAACGACAGTTATCAAGTTCCGTTCCGACCTTCTTCTCGATGGGCTTACCTTCCCTTTTATTTAATGACATAGAATATATTGTACGACAGGCGGCTATCAAGTTCCGGCTTTCCACAAACCGCCCTGGGTATAGAGACAGACTTCTATACTACGTTGGTCTTTTTCATTCTATGTGACAAGGGATTCCAACTTCGTTATTAACCTTCGACGGAGCGAACCGAAAAACGAACTTAACACTTCTGTCTGGCGAGACATACAGGAAGTGCTTTCTCCTCCGAGCATTCAATCTAGCCTATTGACTGGGTTGAAGGACACCCTCCCTCAATCATAAAAAAGGTATTTTCGTCGATCTTGCGCGCCAGACCAACCTGTTGACCTCAAAACCGTCCGGAGCCTACTTGTCTCTACAAGCGGTGGACATGCAACTCCTTAACAGGGAAGAATTGGAGATCTTCCGTCAACCTTATAGAATTTGACCAGAGGGTCTTACCTGTGTGAACCTCTTTGAGCCCTTACCTTCTTAAGAAGGGACTAAGAAAAGGTCAAGCCGCACCTTTGCTCTTAGCATCATGTACCTTGGGTATCTCCTTGGCTTGAGGTCTCCGTTTGGTGTCCTTTCCCTTTCGTTCCTCTCCCTTTGGTCGAGCTACTATTAGAACCTTTTGAGTCTTTGACATTTTTGCGCCTGAGCCCATGGGCGAATACCAATTGTTGGTGGTCCTAGCTGCTTGGGCCGGGACAAGGTTTAGCACACTCTGGCGCCGGCGCGGAGCTTGGGCCCATGGTTGCAACCTTAAATTGCCTATCTTCGCCCAAACCCAAAATAGACCATTAGCGCAGAAAAAAGTTTGACATAGTCACCTACCTGTATGCTTGAGCCTCATGAGGGCTTGCTTTGCTATCCAGGCCACGCGGATATAGAAATGGCCTTCCGCTCCTTCTTGAGTTCTTACCAAGTGTTGATGGAGCGCCTCCCTTCTCCGCTAACGCGCCTCATACTTTTGTTTTGTGCGCCACTATAGCTTAGCATCTCCCGTAAGATACATGGTTGCGGTTGTGACCATGGCCAGAGGCTTCTTCCTCATCTACGTCACGGTGGTGTGGAGACATCCGAAAAGCTCCGAAAGAGAAGGCAGCCTATAATATATCTATTATTTGGTAGTTAGAGTAGGGAAGTCTACAGAAGGAGAGGAAGTAAGTAAAGGTAAGAAAGATTCTTCTCATATACTGGTTCAGCAAAAGAAGTTGTCGACTGAAAGGAGAGGTTATAATATATGCTCGACCAAAGGGAGAGGAAGGTTGGAGGAAAGCTCTGATAGTGAAACTGTTCGGGAAGACTATCTCGTACAATGTCTTACTGGCGGTTAGATGCTGCAGAAAAGAAAGAAGATCTGAACTTCAGCCTAGTACGGTTTCAGAGATCGTGGGGGAAGGCCGACCACTTAATACATAAGCTCAAAGGTTTCCTCGTCACCTATATACTAGATACTAAATACCGTCACTTAACCGAGAGAGGTGAGTAGGTCTTCTATTATTTGGTATACATTCCTGAAAGACCGAGGAAGTGCTAACTAATGGCATAAGCGGAGGATTCCTACCTATATCATAACATTAGAAAACCCCAACTTGTGGCTGACTTACTCAGCTCTCAAAGACGAGTGTGCTAAGCTATTCCGCCCTTATCCTTAGAAGATCTAGGTAGTCCCTTACTCTATTCCAAGTTAGGAATAGCGGGGGGGAGAACAGATAAAATAAGAGTTTGAAAACTTATACAATATAGTTTTGATGACTGAACTTCGCTTCGTTCGTTAGGTCAATTACATCGAGCCTAAGCCAAACCGGAAAAAGGTTGTCAACAACATCATTCCTACTGCGCGTGTGCGGGGACTATTCAGAAAGAAGAAAGTTGTTGAGGGAAGGGGACGACGCATCGTCATACTTGGGCATTGACCGCGGAGAATGCCTGTTCAAAAAGAGCTTGACCTTTCTTGCACGCTCAACTTCGCGAAATTCTCCTCCAGCCTCTTACTCATGTACGGAAGAGCTTTTCACAGCCCTGGGGATTCTTTCTCTGGGCCATGAAGCGGCTAAAGCGTGAGTCTCTACTGCTCCGCCAAGCCTTTACATCTAACTGCTTGCACTCTTCCATTATTGAAATAGAAAAGGGAAGGAAGCGTAAGCCAAGACAGCTTAACTAATGACTAAAGGTTGGTGATAAAAGATCTGACCGGTAAAAAGAGGGGGAGGGATTGGCAGTCCAAGTTATGAAATATCCAGCCGGGTCTATCTGATCCGGAAAGCCTACCCCGAAAGAAATCCTTGCTGCTTTCATCTCCGGGGGTTTGCAAGAGGTCGACCTATATGTATGGAATGGCGATACATCTTCTCTGGAATCTGCGCATTTCAACGAGGTGCGGAACAAAATCTCCGGAACCACTAGTTCCCCCTTTTCACAGGTCAATTACATCGAGCCTAGGCAACGGCATATGAGTTAGCGTCTACGGGTAGCTACTGGAAATCCTTTAACAAGCAAGTAGTCAACTACCTTCGTTTTGGTTATCTTTAGGTCGACAGTCAATGTGTGACGAGGTAAGGGCTGTTCTCGCTCCTCTTTTAACGGAAAGATTCTGGCAACCAAAAGAGCAAGTTGAGGGCGACTAAAATCCGCCTTAGATTCGATCTATCCCTTTCTGAGTGAGACGAAGTCCCACTAGAAAGGTAGTTCACTGGGCAATCGATCTATTCCCTTTGCCTCTTAGGAGCCACCCTTCCGGGGAGTATGGCTAACTCGGGGGCTTACTGAACCAGAAAGTCATGACCGAACAGCTTCTCGTTTTCCACGGTTTGTATTTCTTGTTGAATGGAAAAAAGTCTTCCAGCGATATCCATGGCTAAAGCTCTTTCTTGCCGACTTCTAAGTCACCGTCTCCCTTTGCCAAATAGAGACTGAAAGAAGCTTCTATTTATAGGCATAGGCCTTGGAAGGGAAGGGAACGAACTTTTCGAAGCGAAGTGAAGTCATAGAAGCGAATTGGAACTGAAACTGGCTCGCTTGTAGAGGAAACCGGTCTTGGACCTGAAACTCCATCGAAGTAAGCTCGTATGGACCGCTCCCATCTATAGAGAATATACCCTACTATCTATCGAGGAAGAAAAGAACTATTAGCTGTAGCCTTCTCAGGTCAATTATATCGAGCCTGGCCGGAAATAAAAGACACCAGGCTCGCGTAGATAAATTACCTGAACCATGCTTTCCGGTATAAGATAGAAGACCCTTTCCTTTCGGAAGCAAAAACCAGAGCAGAGCAAAGAAAGAAGGGGCCACGGACAGCAGTAATTTAGCAACTAGTACACTTACCCTACTGGATACCTCCCCGGGGAAGACTTAGCGTCCATCAATTGAGACAGGCACTCGACAACAAGAAGAAAAAGGTCAGGCTAGTAGCTAAAGGCTTTACTCAAACATATGGGATAGATTACGAGTAAGCCTTTGCGCAATGTTGAAGGAAAGAGTCCTAGTCCCATTCTTGAACCATCCTTCCGATCTAGAAGACTTCGTTACACTTCCTAAAGCACTAGGTGGCTACGGCTAGCTCAACTCAAAGTAAGTGCCTTCATCCTAGACTATACCCGCGGGTCACTAACCGGTGACAAAGTAAGTGAGTTAAAAGATTGACAACAAAAGGGCGGACTACCGAATGAGAAAGGGCAAAGAACCCGGCTTTCGTCAAGGCTTTCCTTCTCGCTTACTTCATCTCTGTCCTCGCGCCAATCTCCATGGGAGCCCCTCTTATAGTATAGGTAGTATAGGCTTTCTCTCGCTACAGGAACATGTCCGCCCGGTGNATCGGGAATCGATCTAGTCACAATTCTCCTGCATTAGCCTATTTGATCTATCAATCATAAGACGAGACCAGATTCTCATGGGTGGTAGTATGATCGATATGCCTCAAATCCTCCTCAGGGTCGACGAAGTTGAGGTCAATTACATCGACCCTTTCTTATTTTTATGACGAATCATACACGAGACCTTACTTTCGTGCGTTTTTATATGCAGGATTTTGGGGTCCATTTCCGGATAGGTTGGATGAAAGGCAGGAAAGCGATGAAACTAGCTACCAAGCATTGGAAGATAGCTTTGGAGTTAGGATTCTATTAGAATTCTATGTCCGGTCGGTAAAGTCAATCTGGTCCAATCCTGGGTGAAGGAGTAGATATACCCTTGTATTGTAATTGTAGTTGTCCCTGGGATCGAACGAAGCCAGCAAGTCAAGAGGTCAAGGGATCGGAGATTTACAGTCCTTCGTCGATCTAAGCCATAAAGTATGGAAATCTGGTAAATTGCATAGTAAATACCAGGGTTTAGTTTATTTATATATGCGGGGAAGAAAGCCATGAAGCTTTAGGATCTGGGATTCCACCGGTCTGACTGAAAGGTTCGGGAATAGCAATAGCTCTCTAGTTGGTGAGGAGAAATACCGTGAGTAGAAAGACCCCTTGCTTTTAGTATTTAGTAGTCCTCATCACTTAGTCCTTCGAAGGGGAGTTGGTCTTACCTCTGGTGTTGGGAAACGTGGGAAAAGGGTGAAGGAGTATGAAGCCAGAGCGCGTACTTGGGGTCAAAAGACAGAAAGCGAGTCGATCTGTCTTTGCGTGGGAGATTGGATTAGAGGGAAGAAGGAATAGATATAGCATCGATGCCATGAAGGAAAGGTGTAGCAATTGGGTCGGTAAAGAACGGAGTACTTTGGGTGCTAGGAATTCCCCTGGGGTCGTCAACTAGCCAGCAATTCAATAGGTTTGGGGGATCGGGCAAGGGTCTTGCACATCGGATTGGGAAAGACGGAAAAAGTATTGCTTAGTAGAATATCTTTTATATTGGTACTCCACTCCTGGGATCAGACCAAGCCAGCAAGCGAGTATTCCGATTGGTCCAGGAGTTGGGCGCTGGGAATTCCATTTCCCTGGGGTCGGAAGATAGATGGCAAGGGAGTTCGGATTAGCAGTTGGGTTGGGAAACTTAGCATAGTAAAAAGTCAAATACCCGGAATGAAATAGTGTAAGTAAAGAAATGTCCATCTAAGGTTTGGCAAAGGATGATTCATCCACGAGCACCTACTTTCGTTGGGGATAGAAAGATTGGGGATTATTCTTTCCAGCTCAGATCGGGAAAACGCTTTTCTATTTTTTTGTTTTCTCCTTTCTTTTTACGCTGGTTGGGGTTCGGGAAGGTATGGCTTTCTTGGTCATTTGTCATTATGAACGCCTTCGAGAGGGCAGGCAAGTCGATGTGGATGTCGGGGTCTGGCTCAAGGGATCGCGTTCGCAAATAGAATAGCAATGTCCTAAACAGAGGTAGTTGGGTTCAGCAAAAAGACAGAAGCTCCAAGTATTTCGAAATGGACAAGGCTGGGATTCGGCAAGCGAGAAAGAACCTGGTCTGAAACGTCGGATTTCCGGGAATCAAGAAAGGGGGCGATTTCCCAAAGGCCAACCAGAGAGGACAAGGAATTGAAAGTCCTTCCATCGAACAAATAGAGATAGATAAGCCGGAAAGGAATCAAAGCGATCGGGATTGGAAAATTGTACTGTGAAGAGGGAAGAAGGAATTGCAATTCGTATTGTTTTCTTTGAGGCAAGGGAGTTGTTCCCGCTCATAAGTGAAGTCTTCTCTCTCCTCTTTTGTCTTGGCTTTCAGCCGCTGGAATGGAAGTTTAGCCAACAAGCAACGGATTGAGCAACTAGCGCGAAAGCCGTTGCGCGTTAGCGCATCCGTTTTCTTGCTGGAGTGATCAAAGGCAGTAATCGGCAAGGCTCGTACCTTGGGTACCAAGGGTATGAGCCAGCAGAGGAACAGGTCTTCCCGCGGATCTGCCATTTCCATTTCCTTCTCTTGTTTGGGAATAATAGAAAAAATACCGTATAATAAAGGAGCTCGGTTTCGGAGTAGCTATACGATCGGGTATTAGATTAGGAGCTCAGTACTCTCTCTCGATCTTGTCAATTCCCTAGTTTTCGGAATCAGGCTTGGCAGCAAGTGAAGATCGCTCGTCTCGGGTAATAGTTGTTCCAGGAGTGGGTAAGTAGATTCGATCTAAGAGTTTACATCGTAAGTAAAGCTCGGAAAGAGAGTAGCTATCGGGTTGTGGATCGGTATTGGAATTTCCAGTCCTTCGACGAGCAGCCAGACAAGAAGAGAAGGAAAGCGGGTACAAAGTCGTAGGTGAGGGGATCGGGAATTCCTTTGTTTTCGGAAACAGCATAATAAAGAGCCAGCAAGGCAAAGGAGTTTCCCCGTCCGGTTCGGAAGATTCCTTCGTCAAAGAAAGCTCTGAAGCAGAGTCTCAAGCGAGGGATGCTGTCTTTCTTGGATCTGCCATTTCTTTCCTGATCTGGTTTTGGAAAAATACCGTATAATAAGAGGGTAAAGGGCAAGGTAATTACCCAGTTTTCATAAAGAGGAAAAGGAGGTCGGGTTTTGCCATCGGTGGGTTGGCGAGTGGAGTTGTTCTTCCCAGCAAAGCCTCCAAGTCGGTGGTCAAAATAGCGTAAATAAATGTATATTGTTGGCCTATAGAATATTCCTGACGATCAATCACAAGCCTCCAAACTCCAGTTTTCGATATATGAGATTTTCGGGTTGATATTAGGGCAAGGGATAATTTCCAGCTCTTATGGTTATGTCTTCGACCTCTGTCATGATCTTGTCTTGCAGCCGCTTCTCATTAGCCAGCCGTTGTTGCGGTGAGAAATGGAATAGGACAAGGAAGCTCTGAAGTGGTACAAAAGGTCGTGAACTGGGCCAGAAAGGGGAGAATGCGATGGTGAAATGGTTTCCATTTTGTTACAAGGAAGGCACCTCCGAAAAGCCTGAGGTCAAATCATACATGAGCGGTCAAGAACGCAGGTTTTTGATATATCACTTTTTCGGGTCATTTTACGAGAAAGGAGAAAACCAGCTCATAGATTGAGTCTTCGAACTCTGGTTTGGAATCTTCCTGATCTTGTTTGGAAAGATTGACCAAGTCATGGGTCAAAGGAAGAAGACAAAGCAGCGCATTCCTCGAGCAGGAGCTGGAAAGAGAGTCTATTTTACACATGAGGTCGAAAGAAAAGATGGGAAAGTAAAGCAGGGTTTGAGAGTAGAAAGACCAGAGCGGTAAGGTAATTCGTAGTCCTGGAAGTCGAGAGAAGATGGGGTACCTGTCCTCGTTCGTAAGAAGTCAAGCGGGTCTTCTCCATCCGGATAGAAAGCTTGGGATCCTTTCTTTCGTCCGTTTTCCATATATGAAAGGGGTCATAATCCGAGGGAGGGCTCATAAGTGAAGTCTTCGACCCGAGGTACGAGTCTTGGTCTTCGACCGCTCTTCCTTTTGTTTGGCCGTTGGGGTGAGGGAGGTCTGGCTTAATCGTACGCTTGCCCATAATGAATGAGCCTTCGGTCTGACAATTCCAAGGACTGCCTATAGAAAGGATCTTGCAATCTCACTAGCAATCGCGTAAGCGTTGCGTGGCCCCGGCTTCACGAACCTTCTCTTCGAATAGGAATTGACTTTGACTAGCGATCTCGCTTACCGAAATGGAATACCTGTTTTTTTCGCTTGTATATGTATATAAATCCGACGACCACTGGTTCAGATCCCTCTGCGCTTGGGAGTTCAGGTCCCGGTCTTGAGACCACTGGAAAGACGATCGCATCGGTTGTTGAACTTTCTGAGCCCTGAGTTCGTTGCAGCTGATTACCTAGGGCGAGTTTAATACATGGCCCCCTTCATGAGAGTCTTTCATCGCTTGATCAGCGGTAACTAAGCTGGCGGTTTAGGAGCTCCTTTTTGTTTATGCACCTGAAACGGCTTCCGATTTGACTTACTTATAGTAAAGTGGATCGACCCCGTTCAGTAGAATTACGAAGAAAGAAGGCTAGGCTTCTTGAACCAGAGCTAATTCGATCTTCCCCTTTCGACAATGTGTTTGAATAGCAAGCAAAAGTACCACATTCAATTCGGTTAACAAACTACTTCTAGAATGAACTACATCCATCAACCGGCATACCTTTCTTCTCGTAACTACAATCTGTCTTCGGTGTTGATATGATCTTTCTATCAAGAGAAGATCGGGAATTGCCGCTAGGCTTTTCTTTTAGCTCTCACTCATCCCGGGCGATTCTGATTATTATTGGCCACTAAGGAGTAGTTGTTTTGACCAAGAGAACGAGCTAGACAGAAAAGGTACCACCGAAAGAAGGTCGACCTCACCCCCTTTGGTAAACCGAAGCAGAGAAAGAGGAAGAAGCAAAGCTAGGCCATTCGATTAGGGATGTTCTCACCTGTGCGTACTATCTTGAAGAAGGAATATACAAAAGAACCTTCTTCTTTTTCGCATCTCCCGCTTTTATGCTGTTAAAAGAAATCGAATACCATTCGTGACCCAATTCAAAAACGGAGTGACTGAAGACCTCCTCCCCCTTTCCCGCCTATCCCTCCCGCAAGAGAGGACTCGTTCTGGCTTTAAAGAGCCTCGTCTCGCCCATAAGATAAGAGAAGATTGACCATCTCTTCTTCCAAGCTTCTTTCTGCTTCTTCTCGGCGTAACGAAAGAACTAGATGAGGAGAGGCCTCCGGTTTCAAATCCCTACCCTACGCCTTACGAGGGCGCCCTAGCCAGATTCACTCCCAAGGGTCAATCAAGCGAAACTAGTTCAAATAGTCGTCCTTTAAGTTAAGGCTTCGTTCCTGCTTTCAACGAGACTTTCTTAGCTGCATCAGCTTGTAAAACTCTCTCTCCTTCACCAGGAAAGGGAGAGCGGACAAAGTACCAGACGATTTGGGTTGGGTAAGAATAGCGTACGATAAGAGTAAGCAGACGATGTCGATAGAAGACGATTCGTGGGATCTTCCTCAAAGTCAAAGAAAGAGAAAAATGAGCTAAGCTAAGTATGCCCAGCCCATGAAATGTGATGTCGAATGAGTACGATTTCGAGCATAAAGAGAGAATAAAAAGGAACTATTTAGCAAGAATCTAGGTTTAGCAAGATAGCTGCCAGAAAGACTGAGCTTAGGTGCATAGCGCTTAAATAAGTGGTTGAAGAGTAGCTTTCCATCCCGACAATGACTACTTACTTTCCATTTTTGGGATTTCACTTAAAAGACTGGACTTCAAGCAGCAATGAGAGCAAAGGCAAGGAATTGATGCGCCAATAATCGAAGAATGGGGCAAGGCAAATTTCCAGACAATGGCAAGTGCTTGAGAAGGAGCTGTGAAAGAAGGGGCTGCTAGAGAATAGGGAGCTCTTGAAGAAGAAGGGATCGCGGGGTGAACGGCATTCTGTTGTACTACTAACACTAGCTGTACTAGAGTAGTTTAGTAGCGCCTTTTGAATCAAATAGGCGAACCCTTTCCGAATCCGAAAGGCGAACAGCCCGCATTGCAAGCAAATAGATAGCCCCCGCCCGTTTGAGTCGTTGCGAGCCGGAAAGCGTACCGGCAGTTTGAGTCACGAAAGGGCCGCTTGCTTAATCTTTATTTTCTTATATATATATATATACAAATATATATATATACAAACAAAGAAGAAAATCATTTTTTTATCCAATTGTTCATTCCTGGGAAGAGGAAGAAGCAGATAGAGCAAAGGCCTCCTCTTTCCGTCCACTCTTCCCGAAGTGAGCGAATTGCATGTAGAGATCCGTAGGGGCTTATAGTTTAATTGGTTGAAACGTACCGCTCATAACGGTAATATTGTAGGTTCGAGCCCTACTAAGCCTACCACCCCCTTCTCTTCACCCGATACAAGAAGGCAGTCGAAGTCCCCTCCACTCTTCATTTTATGGGAAGACATCGCGTTCCTAGTCGATTTCCCTCATTGCACTGTCCCCTTAATGCTACGAAGTGAAGCAGGCATAGAGACAATAGGGTATCTATCCTGTGATCTTTCATCAACCCCGGCTCGGTATCGGTAGTCTCAGTCTTTCCCTGCCTGCCCTGGTATGAGTTGAGAGTGAAAGAGGGAGTCTTATTCTACTCTAGGCTCACTCCACCCCCTGTGTTGTCTTATTTCAGGAGGGACTAGATTGTTAAGAAATCCCTGACTCTGTCTTTGGGCTAAAACCTATAGTTCTCTCCTCACTAACGGAACTTTCTTAGTAAGTAGCATCAGCTCTTCAGGGGGGAAAGCCTAAGTAAGGAGTATTCGCGGGCTATCCACAAGCATTAGTTCTCCCCCTGACCTGCCTCCCAACCTCAAGATCATCAGCGGACGACGCCTTCTTCCGAAAGTCCTCCCTCTTTGCTTTGCCCCAGCGAAAGAGACTGAAAAAGATCCGTATCCGATTCCTCGGGTCTTGCTGCGTGAGCTACCGTAGATAGGAGGCTTTAGCCTATAAAGAAAGCTGCTTAGTAGTAGGAAGGAAGCAAATAAAAGTATGCCCTACATGTCAACAGGGTGGAAGTTCAAAGCATCGAAGATGAGTACATGGAAGCACCAATGAAGAAAGTCCAGAGTGCAGATATAACCTTCTCGACAGAAGACATCTTGCTGGACAGGAAGAAGCATACATAAGCGGCCTCTGGTGACATCGGCGAAAGAAAGAAGGCTACCGCGGGTAGAGATCGACCCTGGGGCCTCCATCAACGTGATGCCACTGCGGGCCCTAGCCGATCTTGGAATTCATTCCTACGAGCCGGCTAAGTCAGACCAAGGTGACTATTCCGGGGTACAATGCCGACTCGCAAAGAGCCATCGGCAAGATTCGTCTCTTGTGTGTGCCAAACATGGGATCTGAAGACTGAGGTCACTTCTTACGTGATTGACGGTGACACCTCCTAAACTTCCTGCTTGGATCCACAGCGTGGTACCTTCCACCCTTCATCAATGCTTCAAATACGTTGATGAGAAGGGATAAACTGGGTATTTGCCGACAAGAAGCCCTTTTTTAAAGGAGTCTAGGCATACTGTCTGTACGGATGCGCGTCTTTACAACGACGGCCCAGCCCAGACAGTGATGGATGGATGGATGACGAAAGCCCGCCAGCGAAAGCCGAAGCACAGGTTCGTAGACCTCTCCGAATCCCAAAGTCGAAAGCTAAGGGATTTACGGTCAACGCTATCTCAAAGAGCATGACCCCGTTGACGAAATCTCTAAACTGGGGCTGGGGGAATTACTTCAACTCTCGGTAAAGATGCCACTTCCTGCATTACAGCAACCTTCTCAGGCAGAGGACCCTAATGGAGCGACATTCGTCCTCTCAATGGAAGGTTTTTTTCCTCATCTTGAACCTCCTCCCAAGGGTGATGGGATCTAACCGGATGACCTATCCTTTTCTTCTACGGAGGATTTTTCATCTTCAAACTGGGATTCTTCTTTAATGACAGTCTCCTGCACAGTGGATGCAGGCTCTTTGTCCCCCTCGGAAGCCTTCGGAAGAAGTCCTAGCCATACCTACTGGCGAATAGTTCAGTGAGTGGGTTCGGGTAAGACTCTACTGATTGATCTTCTCAAAGGCTTCAGTAAATATTTCATAGTAGCCTCATTAGACCGTACATCTTTCTTGGTATATCCAGATAATATATAATAAGAATAAGCTAAGGGAGTTCTTCAACAATGAATTAATTTCTCGATGGGAACCCAACATCAACATAGCAGAGTGGCCAACCAAGCCAAGAATCATCGCCCGAGAAAGCAAGGATCGTAGAATATCAAATTCCCCGGTAAGAAAAGAAGCAAAGGGTGGCTGTAAGGCAGCTTCCATTCCTCAGCAGAATGACTCTTTTCACGAACCCGCAGCTATTTCATCTGCTGCAATGCAATTAGCTCTCCAGGGAGCGACGGAACTTCCAGATTCACTTCTTTCGGAGTGAAGTGAAAGAACAGCAAAGTAGCCAACAAGGGCCTTAGTCCTTCTGAGATGCCGATAATCTGCTACATTGGTCCACCCGGGCTTTCTCCGATTTGATAAAGGGATTTCCCCTGGGATTCGACCTCACTGCTGTGAGCCTAGTAAGAAGGGCATTCGCGGGCAGCTTTCGAGAAGGAATAAGCGGTCTTAGGCCTTCAGTTCTTACGACTGTAAGTTTGATTTCCTATCAGACTAGAAGCAAGTCTAGCGAAGTCACCTCGGGATGAAGTTTTGAGTTTTTTTGAACACCCGGCAATCGTAGAGAAAACAGAGCAGTGGAAATTCTCTCTCGTATCGTAAGGCAGGCTGTAGCTCTAGTTCGACTAGCGTGATTGATGAACATGGGCAGCAATTAGTGAGAGTCGGTTGCTGTTCTTGCTTGAGTCGACGGTTCACCCTTGGTTTCAGCTACTGTGATCTTTTCCGCTGCTATTGATGTTGGAGGCATAAGCGCAGCTATTTCATATGCTGCAATGCAAAGTAAGTAGTACTCTTTTTTTTACCGGGGAATGGGAATTCTCTTTCCTAGGGGACGAGCGAAAGGCTGATTAGTCTTTTCGAAAGAAAGTTGCTAGGCGTGCTAGCATGTTAAGTTAATGGTAGCATAGTCTTGGAGGAAGAAAGCGATGTGATGTCTTCAGTTGCTTGCTCTTTTTCCCTTAAGCGAGTTCGGGCTCGGGTAGGCAACTCACCAGGAATAGTCTACAGAAGCGATAGGCCAATTGTAGTTGATCCCGTCTCAAGGCCCATCTCTGACTTAATAGCCTAGCCATATCGGAGGCTACCCAACTACAACAACAAAGAACGAAGCTTTTCCTGTTCACGACTCTGCTGCCATTTCATCCGCTACAGTTAGCTCGAAAGCGAATTCAGTCACCCCAGGGTCTCAATCCTAATAAAGGGATAAAGTGAAGTATGCCATTACTCTCAGCTGTTCACTCTTGAGAAAATGGGGGTGGAATTTCCCTTCTTTATATTATATGGTAGAGCGTAAGCTAGTCTTTGTGGAATCNTGCTGTTGTTCACGAATCCCTTTCAGGGGTGAAGGAAGAAGGAGGTGCTATTGGGACAAGTCTAAACCTTGGCACGAACGGGAGAAGATTCAAATAGAAGAGGGTTTTAGCGGCTTCGGAAGGAGTGAAATAAGACCTGGCCCTATCTATTAGGAGAGGAGTGGGTTAGACAACTAATATTCCATAGTAGAGTCAAATCTAGGATAATTGGCAATAGGTGAATGCCCATCACCAGTTCAATAAGGATTGATCGATTCGCGCTGATAGCTCTATTTCGGGTGGACTTGGGTCGATGGATATTGGCTAAATTCATTCCGCCTAGACGTCACTATTTGGCGAGCTATTCATGACAGGTTCCCAGTTGGTGACGTTATACGTCGACAAGGTTTTATCGGCCCGACAGTGTGTGCTCTTTGCCAGAATAACTCGTAATGATGATGATGACGAGGATCACCGTCCGATTATCATTGAGTTCTGTGGGAGAATTGATGCAGTCACAGACTCAGATTCTGATGAAGAAACCCCTGAAGCAAATCAAATGACACTCAGGGGGGGAAAGAAGCTTCCAGAACCTCAACTTCCAGCATCAAAAGGAAAGGGGAAGGAAGTCGAAACTCCGCAAAGTTCTTCAAAGCAACAAACTGTCCAGAGGGAAGAAAAATTGGACTATAATGTCCTAGGCCATCTTAGGAAGATACCGTCGCTGCTTAGCGTATATGATACTCTCATGTTATCGAAAGAGCTCAGTAAGGGTAATAGCGAGTGTCCCTTCCGGGTTAGACCTTTCCTTTGTCAACACGCCTATATACGTCACTCGAAAGCGCCTTATTCCCCACCTCATAAAAGAAAAGAGAGGACGAGTTCCTTTCCCGGCTTGATTCAGTTCAGTTACTCGCATCAAAAGTGATTCTACCTCACCCAAGAAAGGTTTTGCATGAACTCCTCTCGGCAATAGAGGGATTGGTCTTCTCTTCTTTCAGACAGGGATTCTCGGAGGAGATAGTTCAGTAGATGCAAAGGTTGACTTCTCTGTCGCTTCGAAGTCTTATGATATGAAGAATATCAGGTCTTCGAGCCTTGTGAATAGCTTCTTCGGTCGAGTAGCTGCGCACCTCTAAAAGCGGCATAACGAGATGATATAGAACCCGGCATTTGATGGAGTTTCATCTAGTGAAGAAATAGATACCCTTGCAACCATTTTTGGTCTAGTAGCTTCCCCACTTTCCGAAGTCAATCTTATCAGATTCGAAGACCTATACTTTTGAACTTCGCTAATCATACCGCATTCCTATATTCGATGCCGTCTTTGTCGAGTAGTTCTAAACTCCTCTACTGCACCCCTAGGCCCGGTAGTTTGAAAGACGAATGCTGGAGGGCAGTAAAGTCAAGTTAAAGAAGCTACCTTGAAAGCACAGTTGAATTACGGTATTCCTGTTCTGACTCGAGTTGCCCTATTTGTTTATTGAGAAATCGACGCATCGAGAAGGTTGAGTTCGACTATTCCCTACTTAAGGCAGACGGGGACAAAACCGAACAGCAAGAAAGCAGGAAGAGAAGCCTAGAGGAAGCGCTAGGAATGAGGCCATTCATTACACCTATCGGAAACCATAGGCTAGTTAAAGGGTCGTTTTCTACTTCGCTGAAAGAGAGACTAATTTGAGCTGATGTCACACTCCGGTACGAAGTACCAAAACCTATCTAGGTGTGTTGATAGGAAGAGACCAGAAAGATCCATTCAAGCCAGTTGGAAATTCAGAACATTGAACTGTGCCTTCACCCAACCCACGTGGTCCTTTTGGCATCCGGGTGGCCACTCACGGCATCAGAGACTATTATGCTATGGCGCATTTACTCCAACTCATCAATGCCATTTGAATACAAGGAATTTCGACTGCCTCTGCTACAACGAACGAACTAAATGGCAGACCATCGAGGGTGAGTGAACGGCTAGCCAAAACCTCTCGTTTGGAGGCTGTCAATGCGGTACTTCAGTTGGAGAGGGTCCAACCCCTGGTACAAGGGTGGTTAGAATAGGTTAACGTGCGCTATATAATAGGAATTTGCCCTATCTAGTTCAATCTTAGCATTCGACTCCGCGCTTTGCCGGGAGGCTTCAACGATGAACCAGGCAACGTGGGTTCTTAGGCTAGGTCTTCATGCAATTCTTCAATAGAACAGTGGGCAATTCAAATCCATTCTTCAGCTACTCCATCCAGATTAGGGGTCAGAGAGGGAGGTGTACGCTATCGACCTCTTCCATCCTTCTCTTCGGAGAGAGTCCCTCTTTCCCTCGTCCCTATTCTCCCAACTGTGTAACCCTCTTTCGTCTTCCTCTGTTACCCTTTGTCTCCGTCCGTCTTTTCCCCTTGTTCTTCCGATGTAGAGCCAGTTGTGAGCCTCTTTCCCATGTTGTCATGTCTTCTCACTAAGTAGAGTGAAGGTGAGATCAAAAGACAGGATTTCGCGCCAACTAAGGCGAAGCTATTGAATCAGCTCTTAGAGGCTGTGTTAGCTACACTGGCCTCATAAAAGGAAAAAGGGTTGCTCATTTAGGATAAGGGGTAGACCTTGGTTTTTCCAAGAAAGAAATGGGAGTCTCTGGGCATAAAGAAAAGATTGGCTGCTTCTAAAGCTCTCTTTCTTCTCTTATGATATTTCTTGTTTGTCATTCGAAAGAGAAGGAAGGGCGAAAAGGGAGTTTCGAAGCGTTCAAGCTTCGGTTTCACATGCCAATTGGCAACTGTTCTATTTCGTATCATCCCACCCAGATCTATACTACGCTATTTCACCAACGATCATATAATTACTGAAAAAGGCTCAATTTATTAATACCATAACGTTCCTGCCGTACTACACAAGGGGACCCCCTGTCCTTATTAAACATTCTATCCTAAGGCCGCCTGACGACCTCTTTCGAGGATGCCATAACAGAACAAAGACAGATACAGATAAGGGCTTTCCATCCATCCTTTCTTTCTCCCAATTAGGAGACCGGGAAGGGAGCCTTCTTGTTCTCACTCCTGTTGGTTAAGCTCCAACACTGAAAGGAAGAAAAAGAAGTAAAAATTTCACTTCTTCTCCTCAAAACAGTTAAAGAAAGTTCTCAATTTCTACGACTTGCATGTGTTAAGCATATAGCAAGACTCACTTCGAAATCGTCCAATCATGCTAAAAAACCGGGTTTTTGGCATCAAAAATGACCTATTTTAGAATTTACTTATCTTAAGATAATTGTTAAAAAGCGAACCTCCAAAAGGACCTCTTCTTAGTGATTGATGTCAAAAATACGGGGTTTGGTGACTTGAAAGTACGTCGAAATCGTGATTGCAAAGCAAGCCAAATAGAAGAAGTTGTTCCTTTGAGTCCGCTTTGAGGCAAGCTTTAGCTTGTTTGGTTTCATGCTTTAGGTCTTTGGTCCTGTAGCTATGGGTCAGAGAACTCCTAAATGCAGTTCATACGCAACCCACCAGGTTCCGACCACCCATCCATATTTGCTCCTTCCCTCAGGCGGGCACACTGATACCTCCAGCCAAGCCAAGAGGAGTGAGAGAGAGCCCATTACCTTGTAGCCCCGCTTACTGACTAAATAGTGATAGTTCCAGCCTGGATGGAGAAAGATTCGCAATTGGACTCTTCTATAGAATGTATATTGAGAAGGATTCGAACCCAACGAACTTTTCGAAGCGAAGTGAAGTCATAGAAGCTGGAAAGGGTATTATGGGTTGAGTAATAGTGTGAGTATATTTCCCTTGCCCAAGGACATCGATGAACGTAAGAATCGTAGGAATAGCTCTAGCGCTCGCTACGCCCTCACCTTTTCAATCCCATGTTGATGTAGAGTATACTTCAATTGCTTCGAACAAGAGCTAGGTGATCATCGACAGCTTGGGCGTTGCTGGATATAGGATAGGGGATTCAATGAAAAGGATGAAATTCAGAGTATACCCACGTCAACTTCTGCTCCTAACGTATACGAATGGTTCTTATGCTCGCCAAGGGAAGGGGGCCGAACCCATATCCGTTACCCGAAACCAGGAGTTCAAAAACTAGGGATGCGGGAAGCCATTGGAAAAAGATATGCGAATCCGCTGGTTAAACCCTTTCTTCAACCCCTTGGTATGATACCTCCTTTCCCTTTGCTTTGCTAAAAGATACCCGTTCCGCTGTTCCATTGGTGCCGTGCCTTGTAGGAGCCGTCATCTTCTTCTTTGCTTCGTCAAAGGGGATAGGAATGTGCACTTTTGTTCATGTGCACATCAACACAATCCGGGATGAATCAAAGGTATGGAAAGGCTCGATTACATTGACCTACCCTTCAGTGAACCACTCAAGGTCAACCTACGCCTGATATCCACGGTTATTATACGATGCAGTTCGTGGATTGGCAAAACCTGGATGATCAAAGCATCTATCTATGGTTGGGGGCTTCAAGATCGTCATAACATGTCACAGTAGAGTCATCTAGCTTATAATGGGAGGCTGAAAGCGAGGTCTTACAGAGCCTTGCTAATGGTTAACTATTCCGGTTCGATTCTTGAATCGTAGTGAGATTATCTTGCCTCAGAGCACCGAGCAAACAGCTAGCCAGCTTCTCCAACAATTAATGCTCTACTGGTTTGTAATTTCCCTAGCTTACCACAAGATAGAGTTTGAGCCTTATTGGATAAGGAATATCTTTCGACACCTGAGAATTTAGAGAACCTTTGGTAGAAGGCACTATCTTACCTACTTTGGTTCTGATGTGTGGGGGAAGGAGGGAATTCCATCCACTTAATAGCCGATACTTTGACTACTTTACCTAGCCCAAGCCAGACTTCAAACTGACTTTCTCTATTTAGCTCTTAAGCCTTTTTCTACCGACCGAACATGAAGAAGCTCACGGAAGAAGTAAGTCATTACGGTTGGCAGGGATTGACTTTCCGTTGAAGTATTTTCTTACCAAAAAGTCTATGTTGTATAGAAGTCTTCGTTTCAGTCCTCCTAGTAGCCATTGCTCCTAGTATGAGTAGTTGTGATGGGCAGCGACCTTGAGGTGGTGACGAGCCTTTAGCATCCAGATTGGGCAATACGAGATAGATTGATTTACTTCGAGGATAGTCTTTCTTTTCCAAGCGAGAAAGTGCAAGTCGACGTTCCTGATATGAAAGTGAAAGTGGAGTGAAATCTGGATATGAAGGTTCAAGTCCAGTTCCAATCTGGATAGAAAAGTGCTGTTTAATCGTCGAAAGTGATCTCTCTTTTGTTGTTCTCTTTTAGTCAGAAGTTCACTTTAGCTAAGTAAGTAGTCCTTCATCAAACTTGCATATCTGGCACTTTAGGGGGTCAATCTTTCATGTTGGAAGCTAAAGAAAAGGTACTTCCCCTCATTTTAAAAGGATAGGCAATTGAGAGAGAATAGGGCGATAGCGATAGACACAGGAACTGAAATAGACTAAAAGAGGACTCCCGTAGAGGAGAGGGGAAACCCGCTTAGATAGGGCGATAGCCCGGTTTTGATTGAATATCCTTTCCAGTGCTTGTCTTGTATTGAGGTATACCGAAGATATGAGTCAAAGTAGGTAAGAGAAGGAGGCTTTCACTATTATATTATTTTATTATATTAAGAGTAGGGCTTTCATTAAAAGAGTAGTAATTGAACAAGCCTGGTCAAAGAAAGTGGGCCCGGAGCGTAGAGGAAATGAAGTAGTAGGCGGCCCGCCCACCCCATATAGATGAAAATCAGAAAAGGGTTTTGGAAGTCATTTACTAGTCATTCTCTCCGTCAATTCCCTGCTAAGGAAAGACCATAGGGCCAGCCAGTGTATCAAATAGGAATTTTCCCGGGTAAGAGGAGAACGAATCTCTACTCTCGTGCTCGACAATGTCCAAGAAAATGGGCACAGTCCCACCCACATATATTATTTTATGCCAAAGTCTTATATCAAACCAAAGAAAGTAAGTCAATCCATTCTTCAGCTCAATGAAAAGGCATATGACGCAAATGAACAAACTCACTGACGGTAAGACTCTCTGTCTGGGCATGAAAGGAATTCACTGTGTAAAGAGAAAGGAAGACGCTACTCACTCGAAAATGAAAGACGAAGGCAATGAGGAAAATCTACTTCTTTCGTCAATGTCTATCCGTTTGGGTATTTACTTAACAAGGCTCGATTACATTGACCTATTGGAATCTCAACTAGGTCAGGAGGGGCAGTCTATTATTCCAATCCAACAAAGACGACCGGGGAATAGGTTTTATCCGGTCCTTGCTCGTCTCTCAATTGATTGTAACTTTCACTCCGCTTTTAAGCCAAGCCTTCACGTCTAACTGTAAGCGCTCTTCCATTATTGCTATCCCCGCTTTTCCTATTCCTTGGGCTATGCGCAATCAACTGTTGAGACGGAAAAGTCGTCTTATTACCGCTCCCCTCTGTTAAAAGGCTACGCACCTCGTCTTTTTTTTTCATATATGCTCCTTTTTAAGCCCGGGAAGCAGGCAAGCGTAGTGGACAAAAGTAGACTTGTGATGACGATAGGCATCTCACAGGGGCCTCCATAATATACCTTCTTTTCTGACCTGGATCAAGGAATTGATTCCGATCCTACCGGATCAAGGGCTTTACCCGAGCCTAACCGAATCGCCGGTCGAGTCCTCTCTTTTGGCACTTGAAATAGAGGAAAACTCTTGCGCTTCACTATAAGAAGCAGGATACCCATATTCCACTTCAAAACTCTTTAAAGGAAAAAGGGCACTAAGATCCTTTTTTCCTGGAATAAAAAGGGGCTCCGTGGGCAGCTTTCGTTAGTGCGGTATAGTAGAGCTGGCCAAGCATGGCATTGAGGTTTGCGGGTGAAATTTCTTGTATGGAGTCGCATTAGTGAGCTGGTTCGGTCGGTAAGTCCCTTGGTACGTTCAGGTTAGCCTGTCAGGGTGAATGCAGGTAGTGGATGTAGCTTCTCTTCTGAAGCGTCTTAGTTCGTAGCTGCCGAAGTCTAGCATTGAGGTGAGGTTTGCGTAGCTAGGTGGAGTCTCCTTTCGGAACTACTTCTTTTCCTTTCTCTCTCTGATATCCCATCCACTGAACTGTCAGTATTGAGACAAGGTCGGAATGTTGGCTGAGCGTAGACTAGTCTATTCAGGCAGTCACAGGCTTGCTAAAGCTAAAAACGGAACTTAGCTTCTCACTGACTACATCAGTAGCGAAATCCTCAACTTCAAATACAATGCGAGCTGGGACGGGGTTGCCTTAGCAACAATGGTGTACATATGCCAGGAATCACACCATAGCCGGAGTCGATCGAGTGAGGAAAAACCTACCTACCTTGGGGCAGGGCCAGATCTTGATGTAGAAAGGAGCGAAAGCCACTCGACTGGTTGGAGAGGGGCGTAGCGTTGCATTCAAGGTTAAATCGGCCTAGGCTCTTTTCCACTCCTTTACGGGATTTAAAGCATGATTACAGTAGCGTGTAAGCGATAACTGAAAGCGGGTAAGCCAATACCGAGACCATTGAAAAGCTAGCAAGCAGGGCCCGTGTCAGACTGAGCTGGCAAGGTAAGCATCCACAGGCGAAACGGGGAAGAATACTGCAATGTGGTTAATTACCAACTGAGAATCTCCAATAATCTCAATAGTCAAAACATCCACTTCTTTCAGGCTCGATGAAATTGACCTCATACTCCGCTCGATTATTGGAACACACACCTTCTAATTGAAAGGCAAACTGAGTAACAAGTCCTGATGGTGATTCGATCACAATCCCAGCTGATACACCATGCTCGGTTCTCGAACCGTCAAAAGAAAGTTTTCAAGGAGAGCAAAGCGAGACTCGACTCTTTCTATGACTGAACTTCGCTTCGAAAAGTTCGTTGGCTCCTTTTTCACTTTATCTTGCAGCTGCTTATCCCAAGTTCCCTATCTCTAGGAATGAAGGTTCGATGTAATTGATGAACGGGGCTGGAGTGAGAATTCACGTGATAATGCCTTGCTCGAGTAAGAATGATGAGAAATTCTTTTTGAGAGAAGAGGGAGGCCGAATCAATCAAACCGCCTAATTCACCGGCGAGGAATTAGCCATTGCAGTACTGAGCTAGAGAAGTGAGTAGCGAAAGCCACTCTAAACTTCACTCTTTATCAGAGGAAATTGAGTGGAGGGTGAAGCCCGAGTCAAAGGTTAGGAGTGCGAGCAGGTCAAACCTTACTTGAGATTCAGTGCCAAGGTGATGAGGGATTGATCTTGCATGAAAGGAGTGTGTGAGTGCTAACTGGTGTCAAGCTGGTTTAGAGCCAAGGGTACCTTTAGGTAGGAGCTGGTGAAGAGAAATTCTATGACTTCGCTTCGCTTCGTTCTTAGGAAGAAGGAGAGGAGGGTCGATGCTAATTGAGGGGGACTTTTCTATTTCTAACTAAGACATGATCCCCTGTTCAGGCTAATCAATCAGCCTACGAGGGATGGCGTGGCGAGAGCCCGCTAAGCCAATCCCGTAACTCGCGGTAATGCCGGTCTCAGTTCACTAACTCAGAGCTTAGCTTGCGGATCGAACTCAGTCTCCGGATCCCGAAGCTGCGATTGTCACGGGCTCGGCACAAAGGATTAGGGGGCAGAGGAAAAGCTCCCCCAATCATTCTTGCCAGCGAAGAAAATAGGAACTAGACCAGACAGCTCGATGGAAAGGATAAAGCCAAAACTCTTGGGCTTAGCCCGATTGTTGACGACGGGGTCTCACTTCTTCTCTTTCGGCGTTCGCCGATCGGAGAGTCGTGAACAAGCGAAAGAAGTCCGATCACAGCTTCTCCTTCAATTCCCATCTCTCAAGCTAAAGCTAAAGATAAGGGTCTTAGAAGTTGAGGCGAAGCGAAGCGAAGTGAAGTCAGAAGTAGTAAGGGAGAGGAATGAAATAATAGATATTCAAAAAGAAATGAATGAAATTAACGGCAATCTATCTTATTCATTATGTTGAACGATGAAAAGCTGTTCTTAGCTGCTCTTCGATTCGTAGCCTTGTCTAAGGAAAGACTCGAAAGATCATAGAAAAAAGAAAGATGGGGGCCTATCGTCCAAATCATCGGTCCGGTACTAGATGTAGCCTTGGAGCCGGGCAAGATGCCTAATATTTATAACGCTCTGGTAGTTAAAGGCAAAGATACTCTTGGTCAACCAATTAATGTGACTTGTGAGGCAATTATTAGGAAATAATCGAGTTAGAGCTGTAGCTATGAGTGCTACAGAAGGTCTGATGAGAGGAATGGAAGTGATTGATACGGGAGCTCCTCTAAGTGTTCCGGTCGGTGGAGCGACTCTGGGACGAATTTGAAACTACGAACCCGTTGAAAATTTAGGTCCTGTAGAGGAGCGTACAACATTTCCTATTCATCGATCTTCGCCTGCCGACAACTCAGTTCTTCCGACCCTATCCCAAATTATTAGAATTCAATCGGAACATCGCCCTACCAACTGATCGCCTATTGTTAGACCCGGGCCTATTTCATCATCTTTCTCAAAGCCATGGTCCTAGCGTTCTATAAGAGTTTCTATTCACTAGATTCGGACACTGTAGATGTCTTGCATAGGGGTGCATGTCCTGTCCCAAAGTCAGCAGGTAACTCTGGATGCTGAGGTTAAGGAGGAAGCTGAATCACTACCGAAATCCCCAATTTTTATGACTTCACTTCGCTTCGAAAAGTTTGTAGGGCCAAAATCCTGTCTTTCTCCTCCCGACTTTCTGAACAACAATGACTGCGTTCAATAGCCGGGATGAAAAAGCTAAAGGTGTCGAAGGAAACTGATAGCACTTCTGCGTACACGGTACCCATCAACTGAATATGCTATATATCGATAGAGCTAACCGTTAGTGCTATTCCTTTCTTCTATGACTGAACTGCGCTTCGAAAAGTTCGTTCCCTCATTCCTCGTATTTCAGCATTGGCTTTAGTTTCAGCTTACGCTTAGGAGTTGCCGTAGTCTCGATTCGGACCTGACTTTAGCCTTTATGAACTTCTTTGCCTTGGTATTACTTCGCAGATTCACTGATAGCATGAAGAAAGGCATAGTATTCTACTACTCTGCTTGGCAGTTGCGTCCGCTCAAGCCATCAATGTCAACATCCTTTGTCTAGGGTTAGTCCTTTCTTCTTGAAAGATTTCCATTGAGAATACCTTTTTTTGTCTAAGCTCTAAAAGCATAGGCGTCACAAGGAAAGGATAGGTAGACGTAAGACCAAGAAGAAGACTGAACTTTACTAAATGCACTAGAACTTACGAGTCTTCATTCAAGGCGAGAGCGAAGCCTTTACCTTTATATACTCAAATTCAGATCATCTAAATTACATCTATCCTTTGCCCGCTACTTAGGAGTCTTGTTATGATTCCGACCTCTACCAACGAAGCTCCCATTTGCCAAGGACTTTTCTAGGGGATTAGGACTGAAAGATAGAAGGAATTGAATTCAGAGCCCTTTCCTCCACACGGGCTCTATCTCTAGATCAAAGAAAGGAGAGCAAAGTGAGACTTGACTACAAGGTTTGAAGATGCTCGACCATACAAACGAAGCGAAGCGCAGTGAAGTCCCTGGAGGGCTTGTGAGTCTCGACCATATTCTTGACTGAACTTCGCTTTGCTTCTAAAGTTGAGGCAAAGTTGACCTCTAAAAAACGAAGCGAAGCGAAGTGTAGAAAAGATTTGGGAGAGGAATGGTGATTCTAACCTGATATCTATCATTGAGTCGGGATCAGAGTGTCACCTATGACTAAGCTCCGTCACTAGCTCAATTGTCATCATATAAGTTCTTCCTCATCACAGGCCAAGCGAACCGCTCGACCATAGGGAAATGTTCAAGTCCTGGCAATAAAAAGCATTATAGTTCTGCTTTGCTTAATATTCATAATATATTAGCTACTATAAGAGGTCCGTAGGTGGGTTCGGGTAACCATTTCGACGATACCTACAGGGGCGGAGCTACCCTTCAACATTGACTAGGGAAAGCGCAATGCTGCCCAGAAGCTCGTAGCACAATTCTCTTATTCAGATCCGTTGAGCAGAGTTAGAGGATGCCCTTTTTCGGACAGTGGCATCGTGCGATACTCAAGAAAGGAAAGCTGCAAAACTCAACTAGCAAGTAGACCAGTGCTTTCTGCATGCGGTCTATCAGCTATATGCTTAACACATGCTGGTTGCCATCTCTTTTTCTGTGTAAGTACATTCGATTCTAGCATTTAATCCTAATCGTGTCGGCCTTCATCACCGCTGCTTTGGCGATCCGACTGAACGAATGCGGTGACGCGACTTGTGTAGCGAGGAGTGAGTTTACGAGCTGAATTCCATCTATGAATCCACAGGGGGACGTTCTCAATCCAAAGTAAAGTGGACTTTTGGGTCAAAGCCTAGACAAAAGGTGCCTAATAGCGTAGGGAGACTAATCGGGTAGCGAATCCGGTTTCGAAATGAGGCGGTCTTAGCAATGAAAAGATATCCCAACGAACTTTTCGAAGCGAAGTGAAGTCATAGAGGTGAAAAAGGAAGTTCGTCCTTTCCGCCCCCTAGCCACTTGAGACGGGTTTTGATGCGCGAAATCTTGCATGGATTGATTCTTTCTGAATCACTGTATGTAATGCGATTGAAGCTTTTCTTTTAGAGAATATCGTAGCGATTGGTACTGTGTGAGAAGAAATCCCGGTAGCTAAGTGGTTTAGCGGGCGACAGTTAGAGTTCAATTAAATGGTCGTTCTTGTGGGGGTTCGACTCCCCAACGAGATTTTGAACAAATTTCGTATAAGGGTCGATGTAATTGAGTGGTGTTCGAACTAGTCATTAATGGTCGGCTTCATTGGTACCCTTCTTTTTCGGCATGCCGCTCCAAAAGCAAGGAGCGAGAGTACAGAGCTTTAATCATATGAATAGCTTTCCCCCCTATAGAAAAGATCCTCAGAGAGGAGACAGCCTATTTCTGATTCCAGCCGTGAAGAAACTTTTTTTTAGGTGGTCTATGTCGATGAGAAGTGCTATTTTGAAGAGAATTTTTTCTTTGGTACTACTTTTAATTACTTCCTTTCTTATGAACTTTGACTTTACTTGGGCGTGGGCGTGGCCCATTCCATTTATCGATGCCCTCGATTGGCTTCTTTCTTTAATGGAGGGCATTCCTCTTTACGGCGGAGACGCTGGAAGGGGTGCTAGCTCTTCGACAGAACCAAGGGTTCCCGATCTCAATGTCCCCGCACCTGAAGAAGATCCAGGGGATCGGTGCAGGTTAATTATATATCAAGCCTTGGATCAACTTGAATGGGACAAGATTCAAGAACAAAAGGATACCTTGGCCGAACAGATTAGCCCTCTGATTGAATCGGAGAAGGCCCGACTCCGAAGAAGGTTATGGCACCGAAACTTGGGTGAACTTCCATCACCAAATGAGATGGTAGAAATAATCATAAACCGCTTCGCCAGCAAAGGTGCCCGTAATGCCAACAACCCCAATGGCCCCAGGGCGAATTTTCGATACTTGAAAGCTTGGTTGACACGAGCACAACTTTCGACGGAGCAGAATGGGAAGGGAAATATGAGTATCAAAAATCATATTTCAACAATACTTGAAGAATCTTTCAAATAGCTTGACTTTGTTGCCTTGTTTACATTAATTTAGGCCTTTTTTTTTTGATCTCATTCATATTTTATTTTTTTCGAAGAAAGAGGTTCAGCTATCTTTTTGAAGGCGATAGTTCACAGTGCTTATTCTATATATACTTGAAAAGCCACCTCATGTTGGAACTCTATTTTCATTACGAAGATGTATCACGTCAGGATCCGTTGCTCAAACTGAATCACGCCAACGTTATGGAAGTTCCTGGATTGTGTAAAATAAGAGTAGTACCAAAGGCAGCACCTTCTATCAAAAATGGAAAATTGGCTATGGAGATTCCGTGCGGTCAGAAATGTTTACAGACACAAAGGTCTTCGACAGGAAAGTCCTTTCGATCCTCTTCTATGACTTCACTTCGCTTCGAAAAGTTCGTTGGGTCAAATAAAGACAAAAAAGGATATGTCAGTGACCTAGCACGACAAAGCACTCTCCGAGGGCATGGAATGTCTAATTTTTTGGTCAGAATCTCCACAGTAATGTCTCTATTAGATTCTCCGGTCGAAATACGGGAAAACTCTATTCAATTCTCGATGGAAACGGAGTTTTGCGAATTCTCCCCAGAACTGGAAGATCATTTCGAGATCTTCGAACATATTCGAGGGTTCAATGTGACTATTGTAACTTCGTCCAACACACAAGATGAGACTTTACCACCGTGGAGCGGCTTTTTGCAAAAAGATGAGGGTCGACGATACAAACGAAGCGAAGCGAAGTGAAGTCAAAAAGGAAGGAGAAGCGAAATATACGAGATCACAAACGTAGATTGCTCGCGGCTAAATATGAATTGAGACGAAAGCTTTATAAAGCCTTTTGTAAAGATCCCGATCTTCCTAGTGATATGCGGGACAAACATCGTTATAAGTTGTCCAAGTTGCCAAGAAATAGTTCCTTTGCACGAGTAAGAAACCGATGTATTTCCACGGGACGCCCTCGTGGAGTATATAAGTTCTTTAGAATTTCTCGTATCCTTTTTCGTGGATTAGCATCTCGAGGTCCTTTGATGGGCATAAAGAAATCGTCTTGGTAGCAACCACCAAGAAAAGGGTTAGCTCCGCAGTGAGTCTACAAGCAAGGTAAGTAGGTCCATTACCTTTAATTAAAGGCTTCGGTGTATAGAGAAGACCTAACCGCTACGCACCTTGATCTCGGATCGGAGATGCTAAGAGGGCAGGAATCGAAGCGGGGGACCTCTCTTTTATCTCTATAAGGGCTGTGTCTATCTCCTGTCAGCTCCCCAGACATAGACTCGGGTAGTACTCTTGGAAAGATAGAATATCACCGCGTGAACATAACATGTTGTTACGAATGTAACTCCCTCCCGAGGACNTTAGTTACGGACATTCTCGTTTGAACAAGAGCTAGCTTTGCTACCCTGGTATTCTCCGAGAGCTTAGACGCCACCGGGCTTATTCCTCAAAGAAGGTATTCTATAGCTTCTTCTCTAACAGAAATGGAAGGGCGCATAGCGCAGAGCTAAGCATTCGTTCCCAGTCGACCAGTTAAGTTTTTTCTTTTCCTTCCTTTATGACTTCACTTCGCTTCGCCAATACTTCTGACTGAACTGAACAAGCAACGGATTGAGCAACTAGCGCGAAAGCCGTTGCGCTAACGCGCATCCGTTTTCTTGCTGCTTCGAAAAGTTTGTTCCTTTCGCCCGTCTTCTTCTTCGCTTAGTGAGTTGCCTCTCTCCGAATTTCTATGACTTCACTTCGCTTCGAAAAGTTTGTATGACTGAACTCGCTTTTAAGCAATCAGAGTAGGGATCTCTCTTCGATGAGTCAGACGCAGCTATGATTCCCAGATAGGAAGAAAGAGCATTCGCCACTTCAAGCTAGTCACTAGAACTCCCTCCTTACTTAGATCTTCGTGACCCAAGTCCGAAGCTTGGCTTATTGAACTCCTAACTCATTTGCCCGTATTCCTTTTCTTCTTCTCCCGTTCGTGCCAAGGTTTAGACTTGTCCCAATAGCACCTCCTTCTTCCTTCACCCCTGAAAGGGATTCGTGAACAACAGCANATTACATCGAGCAAAGGTCAATTGCATCTTTAGAAGCTTTTTTCAGTCATAGACAAAAGAGGTAATTGAGAAGGCGAGCAGAGACCTCAATTTCCATTACATTCCTAAGCTTGCTTTCTTGCAGCAAGATGATCAGTCCGAGAGTGCTGGAGAAAGCGGTAAAAACCTCTCTTCTTCGGTCCCTTATTTGAGACTATTAAGGCAGTCGGACGACTCTTCAGTAACCCAGGATGACCCGACCCCTTCGACGCTTCTTTCGCTCTATACCCCTTCGTAGGTGGAAGAAAGGGTACTACCAATTTCTCTTTAGAATAGTATAGTAGGGCCCCAGAACGCCAAAAGGTGGGGGAGCAAGAGTTGTCACGATATAAAAGAGAAATAAATAAATGACTCGTCGGAACCAACGATTCTCTCTTATTAAAGAACCTATATCCTCCACACTTAATCAGCATTTGATAGATTATCCAACCCCGAGCAATCTTAGTTATTGGTGGGGCTTCGGTTCGTTAGCTGGTCTTTGTTTAGTCATTCAGATAGTGACTGGCGTTTTTTTAGCTATGCATTACACACCTCATGTGGATCTAGCTTTCAACAGCGTAGAACACATTATGAGAGATGTTGAAGGGGGCTGGTTGCTCCGTTATATGCATGCTAATGGGGCAAGTATGTTTTTCATTGTGGTTCACCTTCATATTTTTCGTGGTCTATATCATGCGAGTTATTGCAGTCCTAGGGAATTTGTTCGGTGTCTCGGAGTTGTAATCTTCCTATTAATGATTGTGACAGCTTTTATAGGATATGTACTACCTTGGGGTCAGATGAGTTTTTGGGGAGCTACAGTAATTACAAGCTTAGCTAGCGCCATACCTGTAGTAGGAGATACCATAGTAACCTGGCTTTGGGGTGGGTTCTCCGTGGACAATGCCACCTTAAATCGTTTTTTTAGTCTTCATCATTTACTCCCCTTTATTTTAGTAGGCGCCAGTCTTCTTCATCTGGCCGCATTGCATCAATATGGATCAAATAATCCATTGGGTGTACATTCAGAGATGGATAAAATTGCTTTTTACCCTTATTTTTATGTAAAGGATCTAGTAGGTTGGGTAGCTTTTGCTATCTTTTTTTCCATTTGGATTTTTTATGCTCCTAATGTTTTGGGGCATCCCGACAATTATATACCTGCTAATCCGATGTCCACCCCGCCTCATATTGTGCCGGAATGGTATTTCCTACCGATCCATGCCATTCTTCGTAGTATACCTGACAAATCGGGAGGTGTAGCCGCAATAGCACCCGTTTTTATATGTCTGTTGGCTTTACCGTTTTTTAAAAATATGTATGTACGTAGTTCAAGTTTTCGCCCCATTCACCAAGGAATATTTTGGTTGCTTTTGGCGGATCGCTTACTACTAGGTTGGATCGGGTGTCAACCTGTGGAGGCACCATTTGTTACTATTGGACAAATTTCTCCTTTTCTTTTCTTTTTCTTTTTTGCCATAACGCCCATTCTGGGACGAGTTGGAAGAGGAATTCCTAATTCTTACACGGAAATGAAAAAAAGAAAATAGGAACGATACCAACGAAGCGAAGTGAAGTCAAAAACCAACTATTGAGGATCGATGTAATTGAGGTGTGAAAAATGAAAATTCTGACACCAATCATTTACGAGTGAGTATTACACCAAGAATTGACAAGCGGATGAGTTTTCTAGGCCTAAGTAAGCGGTGGCGTACTTTGAGGGGGGAGCAATTGTGAAGCTGCGAAAGGCGGAAGCGTCGCTTCTACCGAGTTCCCCACTTAGGCCTTAGGGGCTTAGCTTAGTAGCTTAACTCGTTCTACTGGCGTGGCGCTGCTGGATGCTTTTGATCAATAGGAAGAGGAGGAAAAAAAAAGCTTATGATGAGCATCTATTTGAGTCGATCATTTCCAAGATCTAATTCAAGTTTTTTCTTATTCAAGGCCTTACAATCTGAAGTTTGAGGCTTAAGGGTTTCAGTTCTTGGTGGATACAGGATCATTTATAAAGCTAGAATTTGTATGCAAGATGAGCCTACAGGAGTGCCAATCAACCGAGCCACCAGGTCTTAACGAGCCAAGTCAAATCTCGAAACCCCAATACTTCAGCAGAGGCATCTTCCTGGCTTAGAAAAGATCCGCTACTTCTTCCCAACGAACTTTTCGAAGCGAAGTGAAGTCATAGACTCGCCCCTGGGTGTAGTTGATCTAAGAGCCCTACCGATTGAGAAGGAGATGAAGTTGAAAACAACTGAGATCGGATCTCTCACGGAAATGGTGAGGCCCCATTTATGTCTTTCTTGTACCTAACAAAACAAAAAGTCAAATATGACCATCATCACCACAAAAAAAGATGTTTGCACAGCCGTTACAGCTGCCGAGACCTAACAGCGGAAACATTCCTAAGTAGCAGGTCAATTATATCGAACCTTACCTGCTCATGGCTATCTTTCTTTCGTTTATGACTTCACTTCGCTTCGAAAAGTTCGTTGGGTCCGTCAGGATATGTAATAGATTCAATCTTCTATCTTTATTAAAAGCACTTCGGAAAGCGGAGTCATCCTCGTCTTTTTCCACCATCATGGGTAATTAGACCCGCCCGGATCATTGTTAGGGTCGATGACAACACAACCTTATAACCGATACTACGCGAACTTTGATTGCGCTCTGGCCTTCTTTCTTCAACTCATTATAGGAAAGATAGGTGTCGATTCAATGTGGGAGAATGATTAGTGGAATGGAGATTTTGGAGAAATAAAGCTTTGAGACGCTTGCTGAGTCATAGGCTCTCAGATCGAACATGACCGACTGGCAAAAGCAGGGCTGTCGCGCCTTCCTCTCGCTTGGTCAGCTCTTGGCTCACTCCCGCTCTCTTTCACTTTCCCTTCTCCGCAAGCGGGCCACATCGTCAACCGTTACCGAAAATAAAGACTAGCCGCTTTGGTTCGTTATCGTATTCAAAGTCGAAGATCCCACGTACTACTATACGAAAAGCCTTTCTTCCGACTTGCGGATCTGGCCTTGGAAAAACATCCAAGGTCGCCCCCTTCTTTCTTTTCGCGAATTGCTGACGTCGATCCCGATGAGAGAAGGGCGAAAAGCTTATCCCACATTCAACTTCATGACGTGACAAAGAAAAGAGTTACTCGATTTATGTGTTATTTATCCATTTCTACCACTACTTTGTAAGTGGACCTGGAGAAGCCGCATCGCCGAGGGAGACGAACCCAAGACCACGTGCAGACAAGGAGAGCACTTGGCATTGGCTCATTTCATCCGCAGAGATAGATCAAAGAAAAGCTGACCGAGGCAGAAAACAAAAGAATAAAAGGGAAAGAAAGAAGTGGGTGGGGCTGGGGTACTGAAAGTTTGAGAGTAGTGTGAAGTGGTGTGCGCGGTCTTGCCTCCTTTAGCTCTGGCTTTCTTCCTTCCCCTTAGGATCAAGGGACTGACCCGAGCCTAACGAACCCAATCAGCAAAGGTGGTAACTGCCTTGTGTCCAGGGAGGGGGTGAAGAACGAATTGAGCGACAACATCTGTCACCGTCTTTGATTATGCCCCGCCACAGGGAGAAGTTTGGTAGTGACTTTGAGGGGCAGCATTTGCCACACGCCTTTTAACCCGAGCCTTCAGCAGTAAGGTCTCTTTGAGCGAAGCAGTTGCTCTTGCCTCGCAAAATCGGTCCCACTTCTTATTATGAAATGTTGAATCATTCTTTCTTTCTTTTCATTCATTGATGTATCCGCTTCCCACCTTAGGACAGATCTTAGGAGTAGACCAAGGGTCAAAGGAAAGATTTTGCTTATGTTATGGTATGAGAGATCTAAGTCTATAAAATGTTGAAACAAGTCAGCCCTTAAGCCCACTCTCAACTCAATAAAGAATTCTCCCTGGGAGTAGTTTATGCCCCGCCCCGAGCGAAGTAGAGTTATATTCGTCCTTTCTCTGGCCCTTTCTTTGCTTGTCTCGTTATAGGTATTCCACTCGTACCTTATCAGTCTTTCCTTCCTCGGTAGGAAGAAGAAGAACTCTTCTATTATAACTCCCAGACAAAGGCTGACGAAGGAAGGATCTGTCAACGAAAAGAGAGAACGGAGATAGAATGAAATAAGATAATGAATGAATGGTTTTCTATTTGCTTCAAGCTAGGCTTTACTAACAACCACTGGAAGAAAGGTTTTTCTGGTTCTGTCGTTAAACTCTTTTGCAAAACAGTTTGATAGAAGGAAGACAACCAGGAATGAATGCCATGATTTTCATTTAAGTAATCCCTTCCTATGCGGGGATCATTGTACCACATTTGGCGAAAAATCTGGCCGAAGTGAAGTCCTGCTGATGCTTGGCTTTCATTCATGCTATTCTCGCTCTTTGTTTCAAACTAGTAGCTAGTAGCTCGTCCTAATCCGCAAGTAGAAAGAATTTGGGGAAGGTCAATGTAATCTTTAGAAGTTCAGCGAAGACCGGCCCAAGGGCTGCCTCTAGTCTTTCTCTGAACAAAGGCTGGTTCAACTCCTGCTTGATCCTTTGCAGTTAAAATATCCGGAAATAGAATTAGGTTCGATGTAATTGACGAATCAAAATTGTCTCCGCCACTGCAAAGGCTACGGAACGGTATTAAGATTCAGCACTGGACCTCGAAACTCTGCTTCTTAGCACTCCATGATATATGATTGCCACCAAAGAAGACAGCATAACCTGTAGTTACTATCGGGACATCCAGCCCAATCAGCATCTGCATAGGCAATGAGTGAAGGATAAGTAAAAGGTTTAAGAAGCAGACCATGACCCAAAGTACCTTTGAGATAGCGAAGAATACGTTCTCCCGCCTGGAACACAGTCTTCAGGTGCT